CGTTAGGTCTTGAGCGCAATAAGCGTTAGGTCCGTGTACTATGGAAGACATAGTAAACAGTATCGTAGGGAAGATAGAATGCCACGTTAGAACTTCAAACTACATTAAGCCAATTTTTACGAACGTTGAATACGCTCAACTGTATTACAAAACAGTCAATCTTATTAATGCATATCAGGGTGATATAGGAGAACAATACGGATTTCTGAACAAAATCGTACAACTACAATGCCAGAAGTATATTGCGGAAATTCAGACTTTCATATCTCGTAATGAACCGTTAGTTGTACTAAACTTGTTTTGGACAATCTATTTGATCTGCGACTACTCTGCTAAAATATTCAGTCCTTTTGCGAAGGGTTTTACACTTAAAGACAAATACAATCTGCTGGAGCATGATTTTAAAGGAGTTCTGTTTAAAGAAATTGAAGACAACCCATTGCTGCAATCATTGATAATTACTCAATTGGAAACGTGGATCGAACAGAATCGTGCTCTAAATTTCGAAATGTTACTTTCGCATTGGCATAAGAATAAACGTGATGAACGAAATTGCGGGGAGAATTATTCAGGGGATGAAAATAGTGTACACAGATCTAACGTTGACTACTTAAAACATTTGATTTCTTCAGCATTGTACGAGGATTCGTATATAATCTGTCCTCAGTTTCACTATATCTTTACAAACGCAATTTTGACTTCCGCGAAACAGCATTACGTTCAGTTGATATCGAAGATACATTTTAGTTCTGACGATTTATTGCACTTAGCTCCGCTTCTGAGTATGCTTTACAAAATAGATTCGGTAGCAATAACGCGCAATCCGGCTTCCTCTCCCAAATTTGACAAGAGAGATATACTGTTTAGCAATCTGAGATGTATAATCTCTAAATCTCTTTTAGAGTGCGTTAGAAGCCGTATATATACGGTTTATGAACATTTTCATAATGAATATCTGCTGTGTGATTCACTTGCTGCTTTGATCAAATACATCACTGTTTTTACTGATACCGTTGACAAAAACGCTTTGCAAATTTTGAGCGATTCGTTTGCGGCGTGGACTAGGACAAAGCTGGAATCACTGGTATCAAAAACCATAGACAACATTTTGCTAACTTTTAGTCAGCAAGTTCAGACTTTAATTGAGCTTGAAAGGAGCTGGCGTTATGTAAAAGAAGTTACAAATCTACTCATAGCATCAAAAGGACTAGTGAATCATAATCAGCTTTCAAACCTATTTGATACTACTACTACTAGCGTTGAGCGATTTCTAGGTGTTGTGTTTTACTTCATTAATAATGCACTTGTTGCTAAGAAATTAAGTAACTTTCAATTGGGTTTCAGTATTTCAGCTATAGTTGAATTTTGTGCTGGACTTACGTCTAGCTATCACGCTGACTATATTTATCTCTTTTATCTGTCAAAACGACTAGTACTAATTTGCGATCAATTAGCCTTTGACGCACAAGCTGTAAAAGTCTATTTGGATGAGGAACTTTCGTTTATAGAATTACCTGCGATCATTCGTTCCTACAAAAACTCTAGATTGTTTCTCTTCTATCAAAAGCGCTTACAAACTGAACTCGTTATTATACAGCGCACCAATCTAAGTTTATTATCAATTCCAGCATCAATTGTACTGATGAAAGCTGAAGAACAGCAAAGCAGCAGGCTTAGCTCCAATGCGAGATGCAAATCGGATAACAAATGTTCACAAAATGGTGATGCTTTAAGTGCGGTCTACAGTGATGTGCTGCACACGAGAGCTTCGGACTTTGATGTGCTGATTTCTGCAAAGGATGAGTTAATGATTGTTTCAAACGCAAGACAGTTTTGTGCTTTAGTTGCTTTTGGAAAGAATGAATTAGTAGAAGAAGCGAGTATTTACGGTCGTTCTGACGTGCAATCAATACTGAAGCTAATTGTTAATTTCAAATCATCTAGTGATTGCGAATACGTAATAACAGGCAACGGTAATCTAATCATTTTTGTTCCATATTTTACGACAGACGAGATTGTTCATCAAGTCTCGACTCCTGTGAGCACGACACTACCTTCTGTTTCTGATCAGACTGTGATCAGTGACTCAACGAAAATTGAATCACGCATTGTTTCATTGTTGAAGAAGCAAGCGTGCGAGATAGAGGGCATTAGGCAACATCTTATGTCCTTTAGTGATACATCAGCAGACTACTTGGACATGTTTATCAGTAATATATTAAAAAAATTAGTTACTCGAGAGATTATATCAAGGAAGTGTGTGAAGCAAGACTATGTTTTCTACTTTCTCTAAGATGAAGATGGCATAGCATGATGAAAAAATTGTTCAGTTGTATGCGCAAGCAGGATTCGCTGCGCTTCGCTGTCAATCGTTTTATTATATCCCGAATTCGTGAGGAGGCTCATTACGCGGATTTCAGACATAAGCTATTTTTAGATTATGAAGCAATAGCGGAATTGTACGAAGCGATTGTTACTTGCTACCTCGATCTATGTAGTGAGGTACCTCTGGAACGAATTCTGTGTGATTATGTTCGTTCGGACAATCACTACCTCGCAAGTGATTTACATTCTCTAATGTCAATAGTAGACTGCCATTATTTTTCACTAAGTGCTAAACACCAGTGGTTGAGAGCGGTACTGTTTAACTACGAATCAATTTGCGAACTTGGACTGGCTGTACATGCGCTGTTTAATTTGAGCATCCTATGCGACACTCCGTTTTTATGGCGAGATCATCAGCACAAAGTGCATGAGATCCTTTGCAAAACTGAGGACTATGAACCGAGCATTGCGTTGTACAAATCAATTCTGCTTTTTCAGCTTATGCGGAACAATGTGATCAGCGTGATTTATCCGGAGTACTTACGTTTTGAACATAAGCTCTACGAAAAGTTGGAGGAGGATTGCAAAACAAACTTGACTGTTGCAGCGTCATTTACCGTGTTATTTCAGTTAATGAAGGAGAAGCTGGAGGAATCTCACATTGAGTTTACTAACTTTATGCATCCTTTAATTTGGGCTCGCGCGCAGCAATTGACATGCACTCCCAAATTGAGTCAAGCTATACATTCTCCACCCGCAACTTTCATACAGTACGCTGCTCTGCCCGTTGGCAGCGTAAAAAGACTGCACGCACTAAGAAGTTTGCTGATGAGTGACGAGAAATTCGATATGACTGCTGTGAATCGTGAGCTCTTGCGATATGCGCAACAGGCGCAGCAGAAGCTCGGCACTAGTGTGCCGTCGCGTGATACGGCCACAGCGCTCAGCCAAGTTTCTACCGTATTTCTCGACACGCTCGCTGAGTGCCTGTTCTTGAGCTTTTTGACAAGCGGTGCGAGCAATCCGTTGTTTTTGAAGGCTGCGTTTGGCGGAATACATTTGCTTGCGCAGTACTCGTACAAAGCTGCGACACTGGAGTTACTTTTTAGAGTAGTAGCGCACTTAGAGCCTGATCGTATCATGGCTCTCTGTCGGAGCTTAGGCGTCACGAAGTCGCTATATGTCTCGCTTAGCTATCTCGACCTGATGTACCGCGTGAGTTGCGAGCGGTTCAACTATGGCGACTATTTTTTGCTGCGAGACGCTCTTTACGACGACAAGCATACACTAAACTCTGCAGAACTAATTGCGATGTCGTGCAAGCACTTTGAAAAAGGTGCTTCTGAGTTTGATTTCGTCCGTGTCTCGAACGCGAGTGAAATCTTCGAACTGAGTCGCACCGTGAGTCTCATGAACGAGCTTCTTCAGTCCAATATTAAAAAAATTTCTGATGAGGACCTATTGTCGACACTGTTCCAGCTCTGGCACTTCCCAGTGTGCAACATTACCTTCTGCGCGCAGCAACCATCAGAGTTTCAACAGCGCGTCAACAACTTCTTTCGAAACACTCTGGGCTGCACTGCAGACCCAGAGTTCGGACGCATATTGAGCGTTTTGGACGCTGATGCCTGCGACGCGGGATCGTTTAATTCCTGCGTTAACAGTGTGTGCAAGCTTCAGTGTAATTAAATTTAGCATCGGTGAGAAGTGTTTGCATAGTAAATTGGGCATACCTGAGCGTTGCGCGCATTGTTGAAGAATCTGATTGAGCATACATTGATTCGAATGTTGACGCGTCTGCTCTTGCTAGCTTTAGTTATTGCAGCGCAGCCTGTTTCGAACATAGACTCTGACGCGCATGCACAGTTTGTGACGCCGGCGATTTTCGAGAAACTTCCGCTGCTCGGCTTGTGTGACCTGAACGGCGAGTGGATTTTAGATTCCACGGTGTCTGATCCGCTAGACCCCGTAATAGATGTCTTGAACTTGCCCCCGACCAACAAAATAATAATGCGCGCGTTCAAGCCCGTGGTGGGATTTAAAATCTCCCGCTGCTACAACCGCCTGTTCGGCAAATTAGATCGCCGCGTCCAGAGCGAGATTAACTCTATGAACAATGCGAGCTACACCATGTCTTCGAAGCTGCCATATGGCATTGTGAAAAGGGGGACGTTTGAAATCGGCGGTTCTCCGGTCGAGATTGAGGAGGAGGACATCGGCGTTTGGAGCGTGTCTTCCTACATGGTAAACGGGTGGCTGATTCAAAAGCGCGTCAGCAACGTATTCGGCAATTTTTACGACGGCCGCGCCGTGTTTTCACCAAGCGAGTTGATGAAGCTCAGTAACGAGACGCTCACTAGCTTGGGCCTCGGGCGCAGCTACTTGCTGAAATACAATGAGAAAAAGATCATGTTGTTGTATCTCAGCTTCAAGTCCGAGACGCAAGGCGATCAACATCTGAAACGATGGTTTTTGCCGTACACGCACTGAGAGCGCCTTTGCGGCGAGTACGGCAAGTGTTGTGAAATGGCGAGGCGGAAAAATGACTTTATCTCCGGCGGAGCAATTAATTATAGAATTATTAGCGTAGTCTAATCAGTTCTACAAGACAACTTCAGCGCGATGTCAGCACAGACTAAATCTGCGAGCGGAGGCGAGCTGCTCAGCGGAAAGTATCAGGCCAAAGCGGTGCAGGAGCACAACTTGCGCGTGGTCTGTAACGTCGCGGATTACATCCGAACGTCCTTGGGTCCTTTCGGACTGGACAAGCTAATCTTGAACGAGAACGGTGAGGTCGTGGTTACAAACGACGGCGCTACGATATTGAACGAAATGAAGACGGATAATCCTGCCGCGCTGATTCTCTCGGAGCTGAGCAAGTCGCAAGACATTGAGGCGGGCGACGGCACTACGAGCGTAGTGCTTGTCGCTGCGAGCTTGGTGAAAGCCGCGTTCTCGCTTATCAAGGTGGGCCTCCACCCACAGCAGATCATTTCCGGCTTTGGCAAAGCGAATGCAGTCGCGCAAGACACGATTACCGAGTTGGAGCAAGAATTCGACTTAACCGACTACGAGAAGATTCGACAGGTGGTGTGCAACTCGCTGCGCACGAAGCTAGTTTCCGTAGTGTCGGACAAACTTTCGCGGATCGCGATCGATGCGGTCTTCCGCGTGCACGACCCCGCTGCGAGCAGCGTAGATTTGTCGCGCATCAAGATCGTGAAGTCACTGTACGGCACTATGGAAGACATCGAGTTGTTCGACGGCTTGGTACTGGAGAACAACATTATCTCGCGTTTTGCGAGCGGCCCAACGTCCTGCACTGACGCGAAAATCGGCCTGATCCAATTTTGCTTGTCCGTTCCGAAGTGCAACTTAACGCAGCAGATCCAGGTGCACGACTACTCCGGCATAGACCGCCTGCTGCGCCAGGAACGACTAATAGTGGGCGGCATGGTGAAAAAAATAAAGCAGACTGGCTGCAACGTGCTACTCGTGCAGAAGTCAATTACCAAGGAGGCGATTTCCTCGCTCGCACTGGACCTTTGCGCAAAGTCGGGAATTCTAGTCGTTCGCGACGTTGAGCGCGCGGATGTCGAACTGGTTTGCGACGCGCTGGGCTGCGTGCCAGTCGCGTCCATCGAGAGCTTCACAACGGAGTGCCTTGGTTCGGCAAAGTCTGTTTTCGAAGTCGTGGAGCGCGAGAAGCGGTTGCTGAAATTCGAGGGTTGCCCGTACCGAAAAGTGGCGTGCGTGATCTTGCGCGCGACCAACTCGCTCACGCTCGACGAAGTCGGGCGCAGTTTGCGCGACGCGCTCTGCGTGGTGCGCAGCCTTGTGAAGCGAAACAAACTGATCTACAGCGGCTCTTGCCTCGAGACGGAGATCGGCGTGCGGCTCAGTAAACTTTCGCTGCAGTCTACCGGCGCTGAGTCGCTGGTGCTCCGCGAGTTTGCGAAAGCGTTAGAAGTGATTCCGTACACTCTGGCGGAGAATGCGGGGCTGAACCCGGTGGACACGTTAACTGAGCTGCGAGCGCTGCACGAGAAGAAGTTCGCAAACGCCTGCATCAATTTGGAGTCGCGAAAAGTTGAGCTCGCCGAAAGCGACAACTGCGCAGCGATGATTCAGCCGTCGCACGTGCTAAGCACGTTGCTCAACTTAGCCACCGAGACGGCGCAAATGTTGATTCGCATCGACGACATTGTCGCTTGCTCGTAGTATTTGTTAAAGCGTTAATTTTGCTATAGTTTTGATATAGGCCAGCGGCGTAATGCAGAGTCCCGAAGAAGCAGAAGATGAACCAGTCAATTTCCTAAGTGCTGTTGCGGACTTCAAGGTGCTCAACGCAAGCAGCCTTGCTGCTCGAGTCTCCGCGTTAATCCCGCCTTCAGGCTTGCTTCTCCCTGAGAAGCTGTTAGCGGAGCAGCAGAAGTTGCTTGACGCACTCGCGCAGCGCATCGAAGAACAGAACACTCAGTTGACTCGCTGCCAGACTCGCTTGCCCTTTGCTTCCGTCGAAGACGTCCTGGCCTTCTTACAGCGAGCGGAGTCCTCGCTAGCGCGCACGCCACAGTTCGTGAACGCCGCACGTCTGGCCGCGCAGCCGAACACCTCTGTCGCGGCGGCAATGCGGCTTTGGATGCCGCTGGCGCAAACATTGCCGCTAACTAACCGCTTCATAACGAAAACATTGTTAAGCTACACGCGTAGCAATCCGGCGTATGGCTGTGTCTGTCTCAGCAACATGCTGGACGACTCCGACCTCGTGAGGGTGCTGCAGCCGCTGATGAGCTTTGCCGCACGCGGTGAATCTGCAAGCGCCACCGCCCTGCCTCTCTCAAAAACTCGGATGCACAAGGGAAAAGCGCACGTGCTCAACTTCGAGCCCATCGCGGACCTGAAGCAGTTCATGCCGCGCCAAATGGACTTTGCGGGTGAAGCCGCAACAGCCAGCTGACGCTTCTTTTTCGGTGCACGTCGGCGTTGGCTAGCCCAACAGGTTGGCGGCTTCGAGCTCGAGCTGCAGTTGCACTGCGTCTTTGTACGCGTATATTTGTTCGAGCTTTGTGGTGAGATCTTCAGTCTGCGAGACACAGTACATGTTAACCACAGCCTCTCCGGCCGCTACGCAGGGTTGCGCGCACTTGTTTAACTGCGGAACTACCTGTTCACGTAGTTTTTTCAGTGTGGACAGGGTGTTATTGTCTAGTTTTTTCAGCGACTGCGGTTTGGTTTTCATTGTGTGCCCTGCGTCGGAGGTGCTAGAAGTGGTAGCGGCGGAAAAACTGATGTTTTCGACTTCGACTATGGACGCGGCGAGCTCGCCATAGCGCTCAGTGCAGGTCGCGTAGCACTCATCAATCTGGTTCAATTTAGGCCGGCGGTAGAGGTCGTACCTGACAGACGGCGGGGATTCTGTGTCTATGGCGACTTTGGCGAGCGCACTAATAAGCTTTTCTATCGCTTTTACATCTTTCGCGGGAAGTTTGACTTTTTGCGAGCTTATGGAGCTTAGCCAAGAGATCCTATTGGACTGAGCAAGGCGTTGTGTCCGCTGCAAGAGTGATTCGCGCTCGAGCAAAGCGATAAACCTTCCAATCTTCGTGTCCGCTTGCTGCAGCGTTGCCGCAGCCGACTGGTTTTTCTGCCGTTTTTCCTGTATCACGCTGAGGAGTGCTGCGCAGGATTGCAGCATGCTCTTCAGACTTTCGGCCTTGAAAGTCAAATCGGTGTGCATAAGCACGAGGTAGACGTGATGCTGTTTCTTGAGTTGAGCCGCAACGCGCTCTGCTTCTGCTTTGTCTGTGCTCAGCGCTTTGCGAGATCCTGAACTAGTGGTTCGATTGCTTTCTTGAAGCGTGTCGAGGAGCAGCACAGGAACACTGATCGCATTGCACTGCGCTCGGGTGTCCTCGTCTGCGACCGATGCTTTGAACCGGTAGTACGGAAACTGCTTCGCGCTGAGACAATCCAAGCTGAAGCCGATCGGCTGTTTGCGCGCCGCAGATCTGCACATTTTGTGAAGGTACAGTGTGCTGTAGCAGTTGGACTGGTCTGCGCTCTGCGATCCCGACTCCTCCGCATCGACTTTGGGCTGGCACAACTCTTCTTCAGAAACGTTGACAAGTCTGCTGTTGGCGTGAGTCACTTACCTGTCCTGCACCTCGTTCGAGAACGCGCGTTTGCTTTGAGCTGCAGCGCTGAGCTTCTTCAAAGTAGCGTCGATCTCGTTGGTCGCGTTGTCGTCGTCGTCTTCCTGCTTCGCTGCGACTTGCACTTACTCTCGGCGTGACAGCGAATTCGCACCACTCTTCGAGCAGCGTTCGAGTGTGTGCGTACAAGTTGCCTACATGCACGTTGGCGTTTGGCTGTTCCTCTGCACTTGCCAACCCCATTAGCGTCTTCACGTTTGAGCTGAGAGCCAATGCTTCAGCTTTTGCAAGGGAGCGTGGAAACACGCTCCATGCTTGCTGCACAGGTCTGAGCAGCTGTGAGAGCGCGAAGAGCTGCCGGTCGAATTGCGCGGCGCCGGGCTCCGTGAGTGCGGCGGCTACAAGTGCAAAATAGAGCCTAGCGTGTTTCGCGACGGTGCTTACCTATGAAGAGTACTACGACGACTGCCGAAAAACATCCCAGAGATACTGACAATACGCTCGAGATCAGCTGGTTATCCATTTGCGAAAATAGGTATTTAATCGGCAGCCCGCGGATTGACCGATCGATCCGCCAGCGAGGGTGCACAATTTGATTTTAGCGAGCGAAAAGATGGTCGAAGCGGCGTTGAACGACTGGGACCTAGTTTACGCAGAGTTCAAAAAGTGCAAGCACCAGGCGTCCGCACTGCCGTACAAGAGCCGACGCACGCAAGTACCGCTGGACGCGCGCGAACAAAAAATTTGCGAAAAGCTGTACAGCGCGGGCGGCCGGTGCAGTGAGCCGCTGCAAACGACAGCCGGCGTGGGCGACGCGATGGAGCTTCTGAGCGCTCAGCCGCCGGCGTTGCTGACGCGTTTCAATGAGCATTCAGAGCAGCGCAAGCAGTTGCGCCTCGAGTGCGAACAGCTCTCTGAGTTGATCGCGGAGATCCGGCAGTTGCTGCAGCAGAGGCGCGAGACGGCGAAAGACCTGCAGCGATTGCCGGCTCCACGAAGCGCCGGCGCGTGCCAGTTCGTGGCTGAGCTGGATGAACTACTGCAGAGCGTGATCGATCCTTCCGCGTGCTTCGCAGCGTACAGTTACGTGTTGAACACGTACAAACCGGCAACAGTGCGCGAGTTTTGCGAGAACGTTACGCGCTGGACGGCGGAACAGCAACGCTTGATGCAGGAGCGCGCTGCGATTGGAGACTTCGAGGCGGCAGGCATTGGAAAGATCAAGGAGCGCGTCCAAGCGCACGTGCTCGAGATGGCGGCCGCGCTGCTTGTTGACGAAGAGCTGCCGCAGCTCGCGCAGCTAGCAGCGAACGGCTTGCCTGCGTGGGTAGGCGAGCGCAGCATCAGAGACGACATTTTTAAATACCTGGAGGAGAAAACTGATGAACGCGAAGTTATTCGCGAATCGCTCGAAGCACGCACGCGCTTAAAGGCGGAAGTCGAGCGGCGCGCGTTGAAAAACTTTGCGGAGCTGCTGCGCGTGGACTTGGCGGTCCAGCGTGCGGTGTACGCGCTGAAAGTGCCGCATTTTGAGTTGCGATTATACAACCAAAATATTATCGACGCGATCTTGCAGTCCAATTGGTACTTGAAACTGGGACTGACCAGCAATTTGCGCTACCGCTCACTGTTACGGCAAGAAATTGCTGGCTTGTACAAAAACTGCATCGAAGAGTTGCAACAGGCGGCGTGCGCGAATGCTTCAAATCCTGTGTGTAGCTGAAAAGCCTTCGGTTGCGCGGCAGTTGGCCGGCTGCTGCGCGGAGTTTTCACAAAGTGTGCTGGAGCAGCGCAGTTACAGCAAGTACAATCCCGTGAAGCTGTGCAAAGCCACGGAGGTGAACGCCGCGACGTTCGGCGCGCGGCAGGCGGACGTGTTCGTCACGTCCGTGAGCGGCCACTTTCTGTCGTACGAGCTGGAGGATGAGGCAGCGAACAAGAACTGGTATGCGCGCGACCCGGGCACGGTGCTCACGGCGCCGATCACCAAGCGGTTGTTGCCGCAGAGCATGGACATCATGCGCAACCTTGTGCACTATGCAAAGTTGGTGAACTGCCTTGTGCTGTGGTCGGACTGCGACAGCGAAGGCGAAAACATCGGCGCGTGCGTAAAAGAAGTCTGCTGCAAAGCGTCGGCGCGGCTGACCGTGCTCCGCGCGCAGTTCTGCGCGACCACCAAGGCAGACCTGAAGCGCGCGTTTTTTGCGCTGCGCCAACTGGACGAGCGACTTGCGGTATCCGTGGATGTGCGGCAGGAACTCGACTTTCGTTCGGGCGTGTGCTTCACGCGGCTGCTCACAATTAACCTGCGCGCGGCACTTCAGGGCGCCGCGAAGTTCTTGAGCTACGGTCCGTGCCAGTTCCCGACGCTCGCGCTGATTGTGCACCAGCACGTGAAAGTGCTGCGTTTTCGCGAACAGTTCTTCTATACGCTCGAGCTTGCGCCCGGCTTCGCGGACTCGGTGGAGCCGCTGTGGATGCACCACGTGTCGCCGTTGCGCAAGTGCTTCGACAAAGTGTTCGCGTACCATCGGTACGCGAGACTGCTGGAGCAGCAGCGCTGCGTCGTGCGCGAACGCGCCGTGCGGTTGGTGAAGTGCAAGCCACCGCTGCCGCTGACCACGCTGTCGATGTGCGTGAAGGCGGCCAAATTTCTGCGGCTGAGCTCGAATGAGTGTATGCGGCTCGCGGAAAACTTGTACAACCGCGGCATCATCAGCTACCCGCGCACGGAAACCGACGCATTCGCCGACGCGCAGTACCTTGACGAGAAGCTCAGAAACTTGCGAGACCACCCGGAGTTCGGCCAGCTCGCGCGCGGAATTTGCGGAAAAGAGCGCAACAGCGTGTTGGGTGGCGGTCGCTCGGACAACGCGCACCTGCCGATCCACCCAGTGCGCTCAGTCTCCGACCTCGCCGGAAAGGAGCGAGAACTATACCGACTCATTTGTCTTTCGTTTCTGGCGGCGTGCGACGAAGACGCTGTGCTCGAAGAAACTGCGCTCGCGATCGAACTTGACGGCGAGCTGTTCCGGAGCAGCGGCTCAGTGGTGAAAGTATCCAGCTTTCTCGAATACTACCGCGAGTTTCACCCGGTGACCATCAACAAGAGGCTGCCGCAGAGCGTGCTAAATTTGCAGTCCGGTATGGTGCTGCCGGTCGCAGGTCTGAAACTGGTGGAGGGCGTTACTACGCCGCCGAAGTCGCTGGACGAAGCAGGACTGCTCGTGTTACTAGACCGGTACGGAATCGGCACGGACGCGACCATGCATGAACACATCAAAAACGTGATTCTTCGGAACTATGTCGAGAAAAAAAGCAACGGCCAACTTGTTCCTACGAAACTGGGTTTCGCGATCTCCTTGGTGTTTGCGCGCCACTTCCCGGACTTGATTAGCGTTTCGATTCGCAGCAAGCTCGAAGCGCAGGTGAAGGCGATTGCGCGGGCGGAAGTTGAGCCGGCGCACGCAATAGCGCAGTACAAGCGCTTTTTCCAGCAGGCGTACGCGAAAATGGTCCAAGACATGCCGCTGCTGAAACAAGAAATCTCTACGCTTTTAAGCATTTCATGTAGTCCTTGATTTTGCTGCGGCGGATCGCTTCTGCGTCGGGCGGTTTCAGAAAAGTGTGCTTCAGGTTGCACCTGCGGAACAGCTCAGTCGCCTCCAACGCAGAAACGTGCGTAGCAGAAGCGAGCTGCAACCCAGTGCACAGTGCAAAGTCTTCAGTGAGCAACTTGATGGACGCTAGACTGCTTGGCTCGTGCTCGCATGCGAGCACGGGAACCTTGAGCTTGGTCGCGGAGACGCTGAGCGTGGCCAGGTCGATCACGAAAGCCGTCGCGCTTTCGTTACTAAAAATGACCAGCGCGCCTTCAGCGCGCACGAGTGCGGCACAGCGCGGCACCTCGGGTAGCGTCGTCTGCCGAAGCGGCTCGCAGCTGCTAATTGCGTAAACGGTCAACAGCTGGCCCAGCGACACTTCCACGACGGTGTTCTCATGGACGAACGCGCTGTGCGTGCAGATGGCCCCGTTTAAAAAAATGGAAAGTATCCGCTGTGATTCTATGTCAGCGAGGGTGAGCCGGCCGTCGATGTCTGCGTAGAGCAGCAGTGCGTGGCCGGCGACTTCCGCCAACCGCATGAACACGTTGCGCGAGACGTCGCCAAGCATGGGGATTGGACCGCACGACTCGGCGAATATCTCGGCGCTGGTCTCGCCGCTTGTTTCAGTGCTGGGCTCAGCGCTGCATTGCTTATCGACTCTCGCGTTAGGTTGCGCGTCAGACGTGCTTGCGTAAGGTCTCGCAGCATCGAGCAGTGGCGCGCGCCGTGTGTTGAAGTTCGCGTCGCGCGGGTTCGCCGCGATGCGTCGCTCGCTGAACTGCACGACGGCGGCGCTGATCCGCGCGAGATCCTCTCGCGAGTGAAACGCAATATAGCCAAAGCGTTCCGCGATAATCCAGCCGTCTTTGTAGCCGACAACGCTCGCGATGGCAGAGTGAAATAGGTACTTGAAGAGCGGTTGCAACTCGCGACGGTCCAATATGACGATGAAGCATTTGCCAGTTACTAGCAACAGTTCGCTACGCGACTCTGCGCAGGCTGTAATGAAGTCGGAGCACTCGTACAAGCGATCACCGCGTATGCAGCGCTTGCCCGCAACGACCAAGTCTGCAGAGACGTGCGCTTGTGGCACCGTGTAGCGCTCCGCATTAATCTCTGCCATAATTGGCTTCTCGCGTTTTTTAACAAAACTAATTTGTATTTCAGCCACTCTACTTGCCATGTCATCGCTTCACTCGGTGAACGCGAGAGCGGACGTGATTTCGCGCGACGAGGTAGGTCGATTTGCGCGAGAACGCAGGCGCTGGTGCTCAATGCGATGGCTGCCAATAGTTTGAAGATTCTAATTGCGTCGAGCCTCGGGCCGAAGGGCAGGTTCAAGACGTTGGTCTCGGGCGGCGGCGAGCTCGAGATCACGAAGGACGGAAACTGTATGCTCAAAAACATGCAGATCCAGCACCCAACCGCGGCCATGCTCGCGCGCGCCGCCGTCGCACAGGACACCGTCACAGGCGACGGGTCGTGTACCGTAATACTGTTGATCGGCAGTTTGCTCGAGCAGGCACGTCGTTACTACTTCGAAGGCATTCACCCGCGACATCTCTCGGCGGGGCTCGACTTCGCTAAGCAGGCGGTGCTGAAGTACTTGGACGAATTTGCGGTCGCGCAGAAGCTCAGCTGCGAGTCGCGCGACCTGCTCTTCAACGTTGCAAGGAGCTCGCTGTGCACGAAGGTGAAGCCGACGATGGCGCAGACGTTGGCCGGTATCATCGTGAAGTGCATTCATTGCCTGTGCCAGCAGCCAGGCGAGGCGGAAAGCTCCGAGAGCTTGATTCCGCTGGACTTGTACATGGTGGAGGTGCTTCCGATCAAGGTCGGCACCGACCCCGAGGTCGAGTTCTTCCGCGGCATGGTGATGGACCACGGCTGTCGCCACCCTGCGATGCCGACGAGTTTGGAGAACTGTTTTGTGCTGACGTGCAACGTTTCGCTTGAGTATGAGAAAACAGAAGTGAACTCGAGCTTTGTGTACAGCGACGCGAAGAGCCGCAGCGAACTGGCGCAGGCGGAACGCTCGTTCACGACGAAGAAGGTGCAGCAGATTATTGACCTCAAGCGTCGGCTCTGCACGGCCGAGAACGGCAAAAACTTCGTCGTCATGAACCAGAAGGGCATTGACCCGGCCGCGCTCGAAATGCTCGCGAAGGAGCGCATCATGGCACTGCGCCGCGTGAAACGCCGCAACATGGAGCGCATTACTTACTGCTGTGGCGGCAGTCCGGTGAACTCTGTCGATGGCTTGCAGGAAAGCGACTTAGGATTTGCCGAGAGCTGTTGGGAAATCAGTCTTGGCGATGAGAAGTACACATTTTTGAAGGGCCGCAAGAATCCGCGTAGTTGCTGCATAGTGATCAAGGCCGCGGCGACATACGAAGTCTCGCGCATTAAGGAAGCTATTCGCGACGCGTTGCGCGCCTGCAAGAACGCGCTCGACGACCAGAAGTTGGTTCCCGGCGCCGGTGCGTTCGAGTTCGCTGCTGCGACTCACTTGCAGACGCTAGCCGCCGAGCAGCCGCTGGGCAAAAATGCGTATGGCGTGCAAATGCTTGCCGAAAGCTTGCTCGCTGTGCCGAAGGCTCTGGCGCAGAACGCGGGATTGAACGCGCAAGACATGCTGCAGCGAATGAAGGAAAAAGCGCTCGCCAGCCGCGGCGCGACGCCGCGCGAGTTCGTGGGCCTCGACCTCGACTCCGGGCGCGTAATGGACCCGACGCTCGAGGGCGTGTGGGACGGCTACTCGGTCAAGAAGCAAACTGTCAACCTGGCCGTGCTGTTGGCGCAGCAGCTCGTGCTGATTGACGAAATTATCCGGGCAGGCAAAAACATGAGCCCTGCGCAGCAGTCTTAGGCGTCGCCGTCGACGCGGATCTGTGTGAGCGCCAGCTTCTTTGTGCGTTTTTCAGCGACTTTCGCAGCGTCACTTTTCAGCGAAGCGAGCAATCCTTCCTCCTCTTTGAGTTTTGCGCGCTTTAGTTGCTCGTGTTTCTTCTTCTTTTCCTGGTCTTTCAAGTGCGAGAGCGCGTTCGGCGCTTCGAAGCGGTTCCGCTGGAGCGCCAGCGCCAAGTCGTCGGTTTGCAGCTCAGCTGCGCGGCCGATGGCCGCGCGCTGGCCGAGCGCAGTCAGCGTCGCGAGGTCGAGGTCGTGCACTTCGCTGACGTCCCGCGGCTTGAGCATCCCCACCAGCATGTAAATTTCGACGCTCAGTTTTTCGACAAGCTTCGTCACCTTGCCCTTGCGCACGTCGTTGTGCAGAGCCTGCCAGAGTGGCCCCGCCGTCCAGTTGTCGAACTGATCGACGACAGCCTCCCACTGGTGCAGCAAGTACTCCGCGGGCGTAAAGCCGTTTGCGCAGCTATGCTTGTAGAGTGCCTCTGCGTCAGCCTCTTCCAGTTTTTCGCGCATGTGCTTCTGCAGCGCTAGCACGATTTCCCGCACCTTCTGTGCGCGTTCGAGCAGCACATCGGAGTACTGCAGAGCGTCGACCGTGTCTGGTTCGAGCAAGGGCAGAGAGGGCACGGAGGCCTGCAGTGCGAAGTTTACGTCGTAGTGCTTGTTCTGGTTGCTCTGCGAAAAGCCGGAAAGTCCGGCGAGTGCCGCGTCAGACTCGTCGATCGGCAAGCCAAAATAGAGTTTGAAAGTGTTCGTCAAACCGGCGCAGAGCGCGTGCAAGCAGTTGATCGACGTGATGCTTGAGACAGCGGTGGGGTTCACGCCCGCAGCGAGCAGCGCCAACACGCACGCAAGCGAAAGGCCGAAGCAGGCGGCGATTAGCGGCGACTCACCGCGCTTGTTGGGGTGGTTCGGGTTCGCGCCGGCTCGCAGCAGAAACTCGCACGCTGCGGACGAGTCTGTCACGGCTGCGAGGTGCAAGGGTGTGGCCAGCTCGTCGTTCACTTCGTTTATCTCCGCGCCGTAGTGCACAAGCAGCTGCAGCAGCCGCGCGTTGTTGCGCGCAGCCGCGTAGTGCATGGCGGTCTGCGAGCCGAGCAGCGCGGCGCACTTTTCGTTGAGGAAGCTAGCACAAAGCTTCTCCAACAGTCGCGAGCTTTGCGATTGTTCGTCTGAATACAGCACGCGGTCGCGCGGGTGGCGGAGAAAGTTTTCTAAATTGAGCTGCTCGCAGAGGAGCGCCACGCCGCTCGGAGTCTTGTAGGCGTCCTTGAATGTCTGGCGCACAACGGCGAGCCACTGCTTCTTGAGGCGCTCCATGAAGCAGCTCAGCATGGCAACGGTTTTTGCTTCAGCGTCCGTGACGTTTTCTTCGCCGCGTAAGTTGGTGTTCGCAAGTTCGATGGGGATGGTGACGTCCAGTTCGTTGCGGAAAAGCAGCGGCCGCAACTCGGCCACGCCGACGATGTGCTGGAAAATCTGCGAGTTGCCGAGTTTGCAGCAAGTCATCAGACAGTTCGCGAGCGAGGCGGGATGCAGCGCATCGAATAAAAACGCCGTCGTCGGCTCATCGCAGCGGTCGAGCAGGGACTTAAGGGCGATGATGTTGCCGCTTCGACACAAATTCACAAAGTGCGTGAACAGCTCTGCAGCTGAACGCGTCTTTTCGTCGTCGGACGCGGAGACCCACACGTGCCCCCAGAGCAAAGCGTTCGGGTCGATTTCCTCGGCGGCGAAGCTGCTGAGCTGACGAAGCGTGTGGAGCAACGTCTTGTGCACGACGTGCGACGGTCCGAAGTGCGTGTAGCTGATCCAGAGCGCGCGACGCAGAAAGCGCGGCGAGGCGAGGTGCTGAGCGTTGTCGCAGCAGAGACTCAGCGCGTGGTGAAGCAGCACGGGGTGGTGTGCGCCGAGCGCGACAGCAGCACAGCAGTAGGCGTAGATTTGGTACAGACGGACGCGCTCGAAGTCCGCACCCGGCTCGCTGCGGAACGCGCCGACGAGGCGCGAAGCGAGGTAGTGCAGCAAGTAGTGATTCGGGTGCAGCACTTTCACGAGCGAGCGAAACAACGTTTCGTAGCGGTGGCGCAGCCGGATGACTGCGTTGCCAGGCTCGCTGCTGATATCTGCGTCAATTTTGAGCAGCGCATCGTTGAGCGAAGTTTCTTGCCGTAGCAGCGCGTCCGAAACGTACACGCCGCAGACGCTACAGTTGAAGCGTTTTTGCACAATTGCGGGGCACGTCTCGATTTCGCCGGCGGCCGCGCTGACGAGCAGAGAACCTTTAGAATCCTGAAGCAGGGCGGCGATGGGGTCGAGCATTCGCGAGGCAAATCCGGTGAGGCAGCGCTCGCAACGGACGGCGCCGAGGTAAAGTCCGTTCTCGTGCGCTGTCGCGCAGCGCGCACACGAGCAGATCATGATCTTCGCGGACGCAAGAGCATGTTTCAGCTTCAGCGTCGGCATGTACAAATCGCTGACGTAACTCATCGTGAGAGCGGCGCCAGGTTCAACAAGTTTTGTTGCGCGCAGCACGAGGGAGCCAGACTCCGCGTCGTAGCGCACATAGCAGTTGGGCTCGCAGCTGTGCGAGACGTCTGTGAAGAGTTCGGAGACCACCCAACACGCATTGCTGCGCGGCACGCGGTTGGCTTCTGCGTAGTACGCGAAGCACTCGACTTGGAACACGTGCGCGTGCAGTTTGCAGAGCAGCAGGTCGAGGTCGCTGGCAGAGAGGTGCAGTCGCTGCGCGACAGGGAAGAAGTGCATCAAGTGTCGTGCAGCTTTGGTAATGGCTTGCCAGAGAGTTGGACGAAAGCGCTGCGTCAGCCCGATGTAGGAGCGTGCCTTCGCGAGCTTGACCAGCGGAGAGGCGAGCGGCGGCTCGGTCGGAGCCGGCTTCGCGACCACGTTCGCTTCGTAGATGACGAAGGACTTGATTAGCACGCGCGCCGAGAGCAGCAGAAACTCACAACTGAAACCGGTGGCGTGCGCTAGCGGTAGCAGGTGAGTATGGATGAATGCGCACTCGTACTTGTGCACTTCTGAGTGCATCAGAAAGCAGTTCAGCGAGCAGAAGACGAACGGGCAGGAGCGCGGCATCACCGGACACGGCACTTTGTCCATCGCGTTGCGCGCCCAAGTCTTCGGAGTCCCGCAGTGCACGCAGCAGGTGTCGATGTTGCGCTCGCGCAACCCCGCCTCGGTGAACAAGTCCGCGGGCACGAGCGCGATCGGCGTGTCCCACTCGAAGTCGGTGCCAGGCGCTAGGGTGATTTCGCTGACCATGTGGTACGGCTCGGCGGGTTTTAGCGGATAGGCGCGCGCAGGGTTGAGCGGCTGGTCGTTGCGCTCGCTGACGAGGTAGGACCCGCTTCCCCAGATCTGCGAGCGCTGGTGGTAAACCGAGGCGTGCACCGGCAGCTGTTTCGCGAAGTAGTCGGCGTTCACGAACGGCGCGTCGCGCAGCGCGCCGTACTTGTAGCAGAAGCACAAGTGGCGCAGCGAGTAGGGCGAGACGCTTTCTGCGAACAGCACTGGGTCTAGATCGTTGAGCTTCGCGATCTGGCACAGCGCGAAAGGCGCAATGTTGCGCAGAAAGCAATCGGCAGGCGCGAACGCGGTTCTGTGACTGGCGAAGAGCAAAAAGTCCTGGAAGCGCGCACACCGGAAGAAGACAAGCGCGACGAGTTGGAAGATGCGCGGCTCTTGATGCAGGAAGACGCTGAGCGCGTTCAGGCACGTGAAGAGAAACGCTTCGTTGCACTGACGCGCGCGCAGCAAAGTGTGCACAAGACTTTCTACGCGCGCGAAGTAGCCCTCGATGAGTTTTTCGGGCCGCGTGATGAAGTTGTTTGCCATGTCGCTCGGCCGGGACGGCTGGGCGGAGAGCGCTGCGGCGAGTGTGGCGCCGGACTCGCGCAGCTTAGCCGATAGCGCGGCGCGCGTCGCGGAAAACAGTTGGGCGTAGGCGGGTAGAAGCTCGTGCCACGGCGCGGAGCGCGCGGCGTGCGGACGCTTGGAGAGCTTCGCGGCGCTCGCGTCGGCGTCTTCAACGAGTGTTTCGCGCGCCACTGCCGCAAGCGCGGCGAGTTGCTCGCAGAGCTCGCGGTAGTCCGCGTCACTCATGACGATCGGAACGGCGACGGGCGCGGAGGCTGGCGCGAGGCTCGGCGCGGCGGGCGCCGTGCCGCGAAAGTTGCTGATCGAAGCAGATTGGGCTGCGCTGAGTGAGCTCATAGGCGTACATCAGTGCGCAGCTGAAAATCGCTGGCCAGCGCGGCGTACTGCGTCGGATTTGCAACAGCTATAAAATTCGAAAAATCGCGAGTAGCCAGCGCCAGGGGATGTCGTGCTGCGGGATCGGAGACTTCGGCGTGCTGCTCGCGAAACAGCAAGAGCGGATTGCGTTGAAGCTCGAGGAAAGCGCGGAGCGCGACGAAGCGGCTCCCAGCGCCGCGCCTTGCGCGCTGCCGCTCGCCGCGAGTTTCCACATGAGCAGCAGCCGCGTCGCGCGGCTGCTGTCGACGCGCGCAGAGCAGCCTGACGCGCGGACGTTGTTGGACGCGAGCTGCGTCGTGCCGGACGCGATAGACGTGCTGTTCGCCAGCTTCGACGTCGACCGGGACAGAATCTATCCGTGTGCCGCCTCTGCGAGCGCTGCACAACTCGGCGAAGAGTTGGCGGACGCGCTCGCAACGCTGATGGAGCGGCAGGACTACGTGTCGCACGTCACTATCGCCGCGGACTTGAGCTTTGACGCGGGGCCGCCCCGCCGCGCGCAGTCCCGGCTGCCGGCGCTGTACAGCGCCGCGCTAGATTACCTCGGCAAGACGAATGCCTTCGGCGTCCTAGGAAGTTGCGGGGCGCACGATTGCGGCGCGGCGATGCTAAGTTCGTTAGAGAACTTCGCGGCGGTGTTTCAGCTGTGCCGCAACAGCAACAACGTGATGCTGCCAATGGCGGCCGACTCCTGGTTCGCCGCGGCGAGCGGCAGCGCAGCGAGCGGCATCTTGGCGGACAGCGCCGCGGACAGCGCCGCGGACAGCGCCGCGAGCGGCGCGATTGCGTGCAAAGCGATGGCGGGCAGCGCTTCGGCGAGCGGCGCTTCGGCGAGCGGCGCGGTGCCGCCAGAAGCGCTCGCGCGCTCGATCGTGGCGGGCGCGGCGCTGTTGTCGTTCACGCACTTGGCGGAGGACGTAGTGGTCGCGCACCGCAGTCTCGCGCGCACGCTCTCGCCGGTGAACCGCATCGCGGCGCACCGGCTCGCGTGCGTGCTCGAGTCGCCGTGCGAGCACTTCGCGTCAGAGTTCTGCAACGACGCCGCGGTTGCGCTGCCGTTGGCGGTTTCGAACTGCAGCGTGCTTGCGGCGGACGAGCTCGCGGTGCCCGCGATGACCTTCGCGCGGGCGTCGGGCGAGCGCAGCGCGTTTAGCGGAAAACTTGCGCTGGGCCAAGACGGCGTCGCGGCTGCGCAGCGCGACGGCGGTTCGCTGTACGCGCGCGCGGAGGCGTTCGTTGCGCTGCGCAGCGCGCGCTGCCGCACAGCCGCCGAGCGCGCGCGGCTGGGTACGCTGCGCGCCGAGCTCGCGGATATGTTAGAAGACATACAAATATAGCCGGCTACTCGTTCAAGCCGAGCAGCGCGCGGCGCTTGTGGTCGAGGTTGAGCTCCATGATACGAATGTTCGCCGGGCTAATGAGCACGTGCTTGACCTGCTTGCGGCGGTTCTCGACGGTGATTTCGTTGACGGCCACTTTCATCTCCGCGTAGTTCACGCGCGCGATGACGCCCTCGGTCTTCTTGTGCGAGCCGCGTACGATTTGCACGCGGTCGCCCTTCTTGACAGTCGCTGCGCGAAGCTTGGTCTTCTCGCGCAGCTCCTTGCTGAGGCGCACGCGCATCATGCGGCGCTTTTCCGAAAGGCACGCAGTGTGCCGGAGCTTGCGGCTTTTGCAAGGCTTGCAGCTGACGGAGGCGTTGAGCTTCATGCTAAATAGATATCGGAAAATTAATTCGACTGTTTTTGTCTTGGCGCGGCCGCGAGCAGCGGGTCGCGATCGAAGACGTGAACGTGCGCGCTCCAGTAGGCGACCGACTGCAGGTACGCCGCGCGGTCGAGCGGCGCGCCGCTGCCGCCTGCGAGGCGTGCACGGAAACCTACCTTCGGCGATCATGGTGTTGCGGAAGTGCGTGATCGGGTCCATCGGCAGCTCGAAGAACTCGTTCTGGAACTTCAGCGAGACGACCAGCCAGTCTGCGTCGGGCAGCGCGCTCGGCTCGCGCATCGCGGCGTACTCCGCCTCGAGCTGCGCGCGGCTGTACAGGATCACGTCGACGGCGCGGCTCGGCGCCGCGAACGCCGGCGACAGCGCGGAGCGCAGCGCGTAGCGCACGAGCACCGGCAGCTCTTGCGGCCGGCGCGCGAGGTACGCGGTCTGCAGAGCCGCGCGCGGAATTTCTGCGAGCGGCACTGCGCAGGGCGCGCCGGCAGAGCAGTTCGGCAGGAACACGTGTTTGCAGAACGGCGCGTAGCCGGGTTGCAGCGCGGCGGCGTCGAGGCGCTCGAGCTGCGCTGCGAGCGCCGCGAGCTCGGCGGGCGCCAGCCCTTTTTCACGCAGCGCGGCTTCGCACTGCGGGTCTGCTACGTGACGCGCGCACCTACCGAAGGCGATGAGTCGGGGCACGACCGGCGATCGTACGGGGGTCAATCGAATATTAATTAAAAATTCGAGGCTGCCGATCTGCCGCGTCCGAGCCGCAACCCTAGATGTATGCAGCGCAGCAACTGGAGTTTGAAGACGCGGTTCCGGAGCCTGCGCGATGCCGTGTTTGAGTTTTTCGCGTCGAAGACGTGCAAGCTGCCCGAGCGTGAAGACACGCTGGTATTTGACAACGAAGACTTTCTGTCGGTCGGCGAGCTGCCGCAGTGCTCTAGCGCGATTGCGCACCTGCAGAGCTGCGAATCGATTATCATGCCGCGCGAAAGCCTCAGCGCGGGCGTGAAACCCAGCGCAGCGCCGACACTCGACGCCTCGCGCTCGACCGCGCGGAACGCGTTCGGCTTCAAGGAGGCTTTCGGCGCTGAGCCGCTGGAGTACGAGGCGGTGCTGCCCGGCGGCCGGCTCGAGCGCGATTTCGTCGCACACGTAGAAAGTCTGCTGCTGGACGGCTTCCTGAACGCGAAGCTGTACGACCAGAACCTGATGCACCATCTACTGCGCGCCGAGCCGGTCGCAGGGCAACGTCCGCAGCTGCGCGACAACGTCGTGCAGGTGTTTCACCGGTTAGTGCTGCACTACCTGAAGACGCGCGAGCAGCTGAGCGAGGAGTTTCCCGAGTTCTCGGTGGCGGACGCCGTGGCGTTCACGCGGCTGGGCGGCGCCTGGTGGAACGGCGAAGAGAGCTCGACGCAGTTCGACGTGCTCGTCTGCGCCGAAGAGCTGTTTCACGTGTTCCGCTTCGCGCTCGCGCACGACTTCGCTGAGGCGGAAGTGGCGCAGCTGCTCGAAGAAGACCTGCACTGGCGCTGCGCCGTGCACGACCTGCAGCGGCAGACCGACTACACAGAATTCCACGAGCGCCTTGTAGCGCACTATCAGCACGGTTACTACGGCGTGGACCGCTGCGGACGCCCGGTCTACTACGACCGGCTGCAGACGCTGAACCTGAAGCGGCTGTTTGAAGACATTTCGCAGGAGGAGCTCGAGAGCTACTCCATGAGCATGTTCGAGTTCTACACGCAAGTGCTGCTGCCGGTCTGCAGCATCAAGCGCGGGAAGCGCATCAACCGCGGCATCACCGTGCTCGACCTGACCGGCGTGACGATCAAGGACTTCAACAGGATCCGCACAATCCTGCAGCACTTCATCTCGATCTCGCAACTGCACTACCCGGAAGCAATGTACAAGACGTACGTGCTGAACGCGCCGGTCGTTGCGCGACTGTTGTGGAACGTCGTGAAAAGCTTGGTGAACCGCAACACGCAAAAGAAAATCCAGTTCACCTCGAACTGGCGCGACTTGACGGAGACCATCGCGGAAAACCAAATTCCGCGCTTCCTGAAGTCGCACGACGACATGTCGAACGGTTGGTGCTGCTTCGAGTCGATCGGCCCTTGGATGGAGCGCGAGTGCCTCGAGCGCTACCAGGCCATCTGCAACGCAGCCAGCAAGGACAGAATCAGCTCCTTCGCTGGCTCGGACAAGTACGTCTTCGTACCTAACTAAGCGATACGCAATCGCCCGTACATGCACATCAAAATTAACCGACAGGCGCGAGTTCTCCGCAACTCGCGCGCAGCTGCTGTGTCAGGCGTCCGAGAAACGCGCTGCGCGTCTCGTCCGGCTGCGTCGCCACGCCGAGGCGCCGCGAAAGCGCCGCAAGCAGCGAGTCGGCGGCGGCGGCGTCGCAGCGGCGCAGCACGAACGCGCGCAGCTGTGGCGAGACGGTTTGCGCGTCGCTGCTGAAGCTGTGGTAGTAAATCAAAAAAAGCGGCACGCAGTTGCGCAGCAAGTCGAAGCCCGAATCTTCGACGAACCGCGAGAGCGCGCTCGCCGCCTCGCGCTCGTCTTCGCTGACCATCTGGAACAGCGAGACGCTGCAGAACGCGTCGAGCACCTCGACCAGCGACAGCAGCTGCGGCGGCAAGAACGCGCCGAGGTACGCGCACATCAGCTTCTGCGAGACGAGCGCGCTGTCCAGCAGCGCCAGCAGCCGCGCACACAGCCGCCGCAGGTCGAAGGCGCGCAGCAACACGAAGGTCAGCTCTTTGAACAGCGCGACGCGGCGCGCCAGCGAGAAGCTGCTCCACGGTAAGTTGTCCGCCGCGCGAAATTTCTGGTTAAACAGCTGCAGCGAGTAGTAACTCAAAATTTTCAAGTAGAGCGAACCGCGCTGCGCCGCGCTGTCGCCGTCGGCGGCGGAGTGCGCGACGATGTGTTCGATATGCTCGACGAGACTACGCTGCCGACTCATGCTCGCGCGGAAAAAGTTCTCGATCACGAACAGCGCCGGGTCGAACTCGCGCTGACTTTCAATGAAGCACTCAGACAAGAACACCGACAGGTGCCGCTTGAACGTGTCCGTGAGCGAAGCGACCAGCTCCGCCCAGCTCAGAAACGCGCTGCGCCGAACCACCAGCTGCAGCGCAACGCCGAGCAGCAGCTTGGCCACCGGCGAGACGAAGTGCGGCTTCAGCGAAATGTGCGCGGCCTCGTCGGCGCGCGCCGCGGGCGCGCCGCGCCGCAAACTCAGCAGCGTGTCGTGAATCAACACAAACACGCGGTAGTTCAGCAGCCGGCGCGTGTCCGAAGCGCCGCGCTTCCACTGGTTTACGCGGCCGAAGACGAAGTCTAACTACGATTGCTCAGTGCGCCAGCGCAAGGCGCGAGTGAACTTACTTCAGCAAAGTCGAAATCGGCGGCAGCCGATTGCAAGCCGCGCCAGTGCGCGTGCGCTAAGAGGAAGTACATCCAGTGCGGTAAGGCATCGAGCAGCTCGAGCGAATCGCGCTCGCGCGCGAGCGCGAAGAACGCGGCCCAGCAATCCACCTGCGGCGGCAGCGCGAATTCGCGCGCGTCGAGGCGCGCGTCGGTCGCGATCAGCGCGAACGCGACAGCCAACCGCGGGTGCACGCTCGCGAGCAAGTCCGCGCAGCGCCGCGTGTTGCCGACGAGAAAGTGCATTAGCGCCGCCGAGGCCACGTCGTCGCCGCTCTGGCTGACCAGCCGCAGGTGCAGCGGCAGAAACCAAGCCAGCAGACCTTTCAGCACGGCTTTGTTTTCCGCGACGCAGCGAATCGCTTCGTACGCCTGCTGCATCTGAAAGTTCTGCTCCACCGCCAACACCTTCAAGCACATCAGCTTCACGTCTTCCAACGCGAAGCCGCCCGAGGACGGAAAGAACAGCGCGTCCTTCACCGGCCGAAAATGTTCGAAAAGACCGCTCGCCGCAGCTGCAGTTTGATCGTCGGCATTCTGCTCAGGTGCTGCCGACGCGTTTAGCAGCATCAAGCCAGCACTAACCGCGCAAAGCTCGTGGAGCGAGTCGCGAAACGCGCCGAGCACGCAACACGCCTCGCGCATCTTGTGCTGCAGTCCGGCCACATGCGCAGCCGGCGGGCGCTTGAGCGGCGGCTCCGTCGCTTGCAAGCACAGCGCAGAGCGCTTCAGCGAGTCCGCGTCGGGCAAGTAGTAGCGGCTGAAGTGCTCGACGGCAAAAGTCCAGTTGAGGTCGCGCGTCAGCGAAATGAAGCGGACCTTAGCCTGCTCGCAGTACGCGGTGAGGCGGGTCAACAAGCTGTCGTACAGATCGTCGCTGATGGCCGCTCCTGCGTCGAGCTGCAGCATGCGCGAGACGCCGAACATCGTAATTCGCGCTGGGCGATTCAGCAGCGTGCCGCGCGCCATGACGCGCGGCAGGCCGTCGTCAAGGTTGCGGTTCTCCCAAATTTCGCCGCCGACCTCCACAAACTCCGACGTAATTTCGACTGCGAAGTCCAGATTGACGCCGCGCAGATCGACGAAGCCGGGCCATATCACCTTGCCAAAGCTCGGCCGGCAGATCTCGAAGTCCTGCACGCGGCTCAATTCGAGCTCCGAGTACTCGCGCAGCGACTCGATGCTCGGTTTCAGCTCGTAGTCACTGCGCGTAGAGACCGGCAGCAGTTTCAACGGGCAGCCCACCGCGTTGCAGAAGTCGTCGCCGCGCCTGCAGCGGCGAGCAGCCTCGCTCTGGTTGAGGAATTGGGTGAAGAGCTTCGGCAAGGCGGACAGGTTGACGGGCGCAGTGGGCGCCTGCTTGTCGGCGAGCGACTTCGTCGCAACATACTCGCCATTCAGCACAGACTTCGCGGCGCTGCGCTCGGCTTCTGCGTCGCGGTACTTCAAAAACGCCGCGTACAGCGAGCTGTCGTAGATCTTCACCAAACTGTTCAGCGAGGGTCGCACTGAAAACAAGTAAGGGTCGCTCGAGCGCGGCCCGCTGACGGT